GAGATAGAGCAGAGCCTAGGGCTAATCTTAAAAGGCAGAAACATATGGTTTGGACTAGAAAGCAAAGGAAAAAACAATAAATGCAATTATTGTCCCAGAATGTCATGGGGGCTTTAGCTACACCCTGCTGGTTTAGGGACTGCCAAGTAACAGGGCCGAAAATCAAAGGGAAATTAAAATAAGAAATTTTACCTCCTTTTTCAGAGGCCCAGTTTAAAATGATAGTTGCATTGCTCTCCTCACCCTAATTAATTTCCTATTGTAGCTGCCTGGCTTTAGATAATTCTTTTGAAGCCTAGAGCAAATAATTAAAAACTTAATTAAAGACTCAGATTCACAAGAAGAATAACATGGAAGAGAGTGCTTCTCCTGGCTCAGAGAACTACGTTTTGCTTGCAGCCAAGTGTTTTTTCCCAGAGGATAAGAATTAGATGCTCCTTGTTGTCATCAGTGCCAGCAGAAGCAAACAAATGCTACCTCTGGTCAAAATACAGGGAAAGGAAACTACAGGTACATAGCACGCTGAGTCCACTGTGGCAGTAACATGTCTTGAATTGCATGACTAAAACCAACTCACAACAACTCAAGGTATGGAGCTAGGTAGTAGCTTGCCCAACAGTCTACAAACTTTGTAGGATTATCAAAGGAAATCCTCCAACCATGCTTCTGACACTAAACTGGCACTGCTTTATACCAGGAGATCTGCTTTACTTGCTTACTGACCAGCTAAACTGCCTCCCTCTGTGCCATAAGAACTGCAACCTCATCTGAAGAAGGGTGTCAGAAGAAATAACATGATGGTAGTACATCAAGAAGTTCAACCAAAGAGCAAGCAAGGGAGAAGGAGGAAAGGAACAAGCACTAAAGCATAACTTGGCCTGTATCCTACATATGCACAACACTGGGTCACCCCGCTCATCTCTCCTGCACACCAAGCAGTTAGCAGCTACAAGCTGAGACACAAATACAGGATGCTGCTGCAGTACTACAACCACAGATGCAAGGCTGTGCTATCACCCCAGGAAGCCCACTCCCCTGGAAGCCCAAGCTTATTGGCTAGCTGAGGACGTTCATGAGGCTGAGCAAGAAGACAAAATATTTTTTCAAGGAGATCACTATATTTTTAAAGGCATTCAGTCAGGGGAAATAAAGGAGAGGCTTTGAAGGCTCCAAAGCAGAAGGCTTTGAGGGAACTCTGGCTAAGGCTGGAATAGGCTTTCTTAGCAATGAAGCCAGGCATGAAGCTTCGGGGAAAGTAAAGTGTCCTGGCAGTGGTGGGGCAGAGCTTCCTGCAAGCTGAAGAGCAAAATTCTATATAAACATTGCAGAAGAAGGACAAGAGAAGCCAAACCCAAAAATAAAAAAAAACCAGTTTTCTAAAATAAAATTAGTACAGATTAAGAACAGACTGAAATGGAAATAAATGAGACAAAATAAAATGCACTAGCTCCATTTAAAATCTATAATTATATTCACCCACCTCCTTAATTATTCAAACCTGTTTGGGTTTCCAATTGTAATCTAATGAGGTCCCCCCACCCCGAACAGGAAGAGATTAAGCTGGCAGCACAGCCCAGTTAGCTAAGCCACACCAAAAACATTGCAAAAAACTAAACAGTTACAGGCTGAAAGTGTTCTAATATTCTCAGTGATGGTGCTTTTTCCTATCCTGCAAGGGGAAAACAGGAATCCCTTTATGCCAGCAGTACTGACAGCTCTCTGCAAAGAGGGGATCTCTGTGGATAACATTGCTCATTACACATGGCAGGTTCTCAATCAGCATCATATTTTGTTCTAGGAACATAAATGAGAGATTTAGGAAAGTATCATCAGGAATCATTAACACCTTTGTTGAACAAGCTACCAATAGGGCTGTCTCCACAAAAAGAAATCCGTCTTTACTCTTCACCAATAATCAATATAGCAAGAGGAGAAGGGGGGGGGAAGGAATTTTAATAATTACATTTAGTTTCCTTTCACCTAGGATTCAAGTCAGGGAAGTATTCAACAATCACAAACAAAAGTGCTCAGACCTCACAGAATCTGGCTCTGAAATAACAGTTACATGTATTTATTTTCTTCCACATCAGCTCATCTCAGTGTTTTCACCTTTTTCCCAAGTGAGGACTACAGCCAGTACATTAACTTTAAAGGAAAAGATACTGAAGCACAGAGAGGAGACCCGTGACCTGCCAAAGCCCCACAGAGAACAAAGGCATCTACACCTTTTGCTCTGTGCACCACACTGACCAAGACACATGCTGACTATCGTACGTACCATTTCTGGAGGCTGTATGAAAACTGTAGCTTGCTTACAAAAAGCTGAACAGATGGTATGCACTTGGAAATCCACAGAATTATTGTACATGCAAGTTATAATTATATGACATCTGTATGACTAACACTGTTTTCTTCTGGAATGAATGAAAACGTATCTGCTATATAGAAATTAACATCATGCAAACAAAAACATGATTTCAACAGCATGTATCATCCATTTCAAAGCAATTAAATATGAAAACTAAACCACAGTTAATGCCTTTGAGTTCCAGTGCCTAGAGAAGTCAGAGAGAATATGCTGTGAAGAGTATTAGTTTTCTTTAAATATCCGTAACAGCTTTTAAATATTTTGATCTCAATTAGATTTACTGTGGCTGCTTCTTTGTCATTTAACAACAAAGAGTAAGGATACAGATGTAACTGCTTCATAAGAAATCCAGTAGTCAGTGTACTCCTCCATTAGCACTTTCTACCTACTTTTTTTTTTTGCTAGAGAATCAAAACTAAACCCTAGACTAAGTCATCCCACTTTCACATGTCTGCACACAAGTCTTCCTTACACACTGCCCTTTTTGGAGCCCCAAAACTGTTTTCAAATGTGTCCACCCATTACAACAGCTTTCTTCAGAGATACATACACATTCCCATTGAAATCCAGGAGCTGGACTTATTTTAAAGCTCTTTCAACTACCTTCAGCCAAAGGCCTATTTCAGCATTATAGTTAATGCCTTTTCCTCCCCTCACCCCTTCCTTTTTTTTTTTAGATAAATTTTAGGAGAGAGGTCAAAAGTTAAGGCAATTTATAAATACTACAAATGAATTTCCATTAGCTCTGGAGAGGCTGTGGCTGCTCCTCAATGTTCACCTTAGGAAGAATACTTCCCAAGGTCCTACAAACACTGCAATTCTCCAGGGATACCCTAGGGAGATGTTTTGACAGCTTTGAAGTTTGGTTTTATCACATGGTTTAGTTCCTAATGGATTGCCTTGGTCTCCTGGATGGCATGTTTGTTCAATCTGCTTCAACTTTGTTTATCCCTTTGCAAAACAGGTATTAAATGCAAGTCAATGCAAGCCAGAATGACAGGGAAGAGGGGGAACATTTTTCAGGCTCCTAAAAGAGATTCTTATTTCTATACCTAGATAACAGTGTGTGAGTTGCTTGGTTATACTACGTATTACACATGTGCATTAATACACTTTTTTCCCCTCTGAAAAGAAAAACAGCACAACTTAAAGGCATATTTTCCCTCTTAGATCTGCCTAGCAGGTCTCACTTTTGATATTTGGAAACATCTACCTCACAGGGGCCTTGAGAGGGTGAACATCAGGGTCAAAAAAGCCCATATGGCTCAGGGAAAAGAACTTTTCCTTTCAGTGCAGAAGAATAAGGTCATGGAAGTATTAATGAATCTTGTAAACTGCCTTAATGAAGTTCTAGTTTTCTTTGCCTTTTTCTGAACTCTGTCACTCTACTATACATGTAAATTTAATTTATTTGGAGTATATTACATTTTCTTCTGCACTACCTGCAGTAAGTAATAGTTAGAAGCTAAGAAAACAGAATTCCATTCCACTACTAGTAGGGAAACGAAAGTTTACATGCCAGCTCCTTCTACTGCACTGTCAGCAAAGCACAAATACTGTTACATTTGCCAGTCCAAAATATAATTATTTTAAGTCTTTTCACAAGTTTCAAAGTTCATTTCCATGCCTCAGAAAAACAAATGCACGCAAGCACTTACCGAACTTGAAGAAAACTAAATTTCATATAACAAGTTAAGAGGGGAGGGGAAGACAATTAATTTCAAAACAAGCTAATGAAAACATTCAAACAATAAGAAAAAAAAAAAAGTGTATCTGTGCACAGCTTATCTAACTTACCACAAGAGCAAAGTACACCGTAAAGAAAAATGATAAACTACTTGTGTAGCCAAGAAAGCCTGTAAAATAACAGTAAAAATAAAAGAGAATTTATAAGGAAAGTGATCCTAATGTACAGCTAAAGCTTTACATTTTAGGCATGTTTCCTATTACAGTGCTTGGTATCTGGGGCTTAGGACTCAGAATAACAACATTCCAACTGCCTGTCACAGATCATTTATGTAGTTTTGTAGGGCAGAATTAGAACTGGCTTACCACTAATGGCATGCTGTAAGTAAATGCAGCTCTTTAATGTTCTGCTGTAAAGATTTTATTTTAGTATTGCAGACAAAATACTACTGCAACCCAAGTAATAGGTTAACTAGGCAGGGCTGGAAGGCAGAACACACTGCAACAACTTAAGTAATACCCACCATCACCAGCCCCCTGCCAGTTAAAATAAATAACCAACCCATTAAGGTTTTAAAGTCTTCAATTGTAATTGCTACTAAAATAGAATAATATTCCCTTCTCTGCTTTAATTACTCACCAATTTTAGGAAGAAGCGCAAGAGGAAAAACAATGCAGACTGAAGTAATCAGTAGCAGCAGTCTCCCATCAAGGTACCAAGACCTGTTGGAAAAATCTACTTATGACTGATACAGAGCTCAAGAGTCCTAAAAAAAAAAATAGGTTCTGCTTTAACACTGTGATCTTAGACAAAATAACCATGAGGACAAGAAAAATAAGTAATTTCCAGTCTCACATCCTATTTACATAAATCTGTATTCCTGGTCTCTATATTGTGATATAAAACAGAGCTCCCAAATTACAGGATGGTGCTCTGGTTCCTCGTTACAAACCAGCACCGAAGGCAATGTTCCACAGACAAGAGTCTGCACGGATCAGGGGGCTCATCTGTGTAAAGCTGTTTCTCAGCAGCACAACATGCAAATCCCTGCCTTTATTCAAAGCAAGGATCAGAAAATAAGGGCATTTCATACTCCGTATGTATTTATACTGGAAATTTGTAGAGTAAGCTACATGTACCTTGAATTGGATTACAACAAGTTGCATATTTACACAACTGTAACAAAGAGCAACATCAATTCCTACTTACAGCTGAACTTCCCTTGCAGTTTATTACTCCTACATAACCTTAGCTCCTGACCATTTGCAAGAGATGTGTAACAGAAAGCTAAGCTACCCAACCTATTTGTTTGGAAATCCACTTATGTTTTCTAAACATACTAACTTTCTCTTCTGCCTACCTTTTGTTACACCTATCATCACCACATTCAAATAATAGAAGAAAACAAGTCAGTCAACTTTCAGTTAATTTGAAATGACGTTTGCTGTCCAGAGGTGATATAAGAACAAACAGCAATAAAAAGGACTTTAACTTTGCACAAAGTGATTGCTTATTCTTTGCATACATCCACACAAGAATAAAAGGGGATGGAAATTATGATATTGAAATCTGCTATAATGTTTAAACATAAAACTATACATGTGAAAAAAACATTGTAAAGGCATATGAAGTTAATACATTTTAAAAAGATCTCTTCAAAGTATCAAAATCTCATCTGCAAACTAAGGAAAGTACAGATGGGTAAGTTGTTAAGAAAACAGAAACATCTTGAGGGTGGCTCCCCCTAACTTGGTAATAACCATATCCTGTACTGATAAACATCTTGCACATCGGTCTCCGACTTTACTACCTATAAACACCTTGGCCTTTGACCTTCAAGTTTATTTAGTCCAGGATATGGTTAGCACCTAATAATAAACAGGCAGCACCTCAAGTTAACATAAGGAAAGTAGCATAACACCTGTGTTAAAAAAAAAAAATAAAAATCACCATATACATATATTAAATAGTGTCATACATCATGGACAACCACTTTAGTCACTTGTTTGAAAAAACAAGCTATATATACAGAGAAATTTCAAGGTTGAAAAAACCACATCAAAATCAAAGTAACCCAGAAGTCTATATTTAAAATTACTCAAAATACATCATTCTTAAAAATAAATAAAAAATATACTACTAGCCCAGGTCTGCTACTGCTACAGTGAAGCAGCAGCTTTGCCAAGATCAGCTCCCTGCTCTAGCATTCTTCACGTTTCTACACGTTTAGCATTCATATATTTTTATACTATTTCTTTCTGTATGGTGGATTTTCAGATTAGAAGGAATAGTAACATAGCAATAGGCAAAAGTATAATGAACATTCCACTAGGTGTACATGTGGGACCTCTGGTTTAAGTCTCCTGATTCCAAACATGCAGGAAATCCACAGTTGCCATCGTAGTTCACAAGCTCAGCAGGACAGAGGAAAATCGATTTTGGTTGCTTCATGGTAGATGTAAAAACATTTTTTGGGGTTGCGGGGGCATGGGGGTGGGGAGGAAGACTGCAATGAAGTGATGGGAAGGAGAAAACATACTTTTGTAAACTTCTTAATTTTTGGAATACCAATTCTTTTATTTAAAAGATCTCATAAAAACTGAATAATGGACCATTTACTAGTTAGCAATAAATGTGTCCATTTTGCCCTCAAAATACTGTGGTAGAAATACACTTATTTTCCAAAAAAGAATATATGTTTTGACATTGCCTTTAAAACCAGTTTGATCTGCAAATATAATCCTATATGATAAAAGCGTTCCAAATATGAAATATGGAATATAAATTCTTGACTCTACTGAAACTGCTTTGGCATGCAGATGTTCCTCTTCCTCCCCCATACTTTAACTAAAAGCAGACATTTATAAATCGCTTTAATTTCATTCCTGAATGCAACAGGACAAGAGATACATATGTTCTAAATTAGGATCATACTCTCAGTCCATATCAATTATATAACACACAAGCAAGACAACTTAATTGCATCAATCATATCCTCCTGACAGGGTCATTAAATGTTAACAGAGGGCTCACAAATTACAACTTTTTAAACACAATCCTCATTTGAAACTACGTTCATGTCATCAAAACTATGTGGAATTCTTGTTATGCAGACAGAAAAACACCTCAACTCGCAATTAACAAGTGCTCATGCTGTATGGTTTTGTATTTATAAAGACACCAAGATGTATTACACGCTGGCTCTGAGCCTTTCAAACACATGCACACCTGCTTACCTTCATCTATAAAAATAATTCACTGTGCAAAACATTCTCTAAATGGCTTTCCCAAACGTATGGCTTGGGAGGGTTTATGCATATAAAATATTTTCACAGATAGTTTAACTGACACTTTCGATAAATTCTAACTACAGTTAAAGATAAGTTAAGTTCTGCACCCAAATGAAAGAGTATCAGATCTTATAATGACTTAACAAAAACAGAATAGTTGTGCAACCACATCTGGTTCAACTGGTGGTCCAGCTGAAGTTTGATTAAGCTAGTCAGTATTTATGCCTTTCCATAAATAAGTTGCTAGTTAGGCTTAATATTTGATTACCTATTTTTGATGAACAATTTCCTGCAATTTTAAAACTATCGTCAGTAAAAAAACTACTCTTAAAATCTGTGAAGAAATACACAGAAGCAAAAGATTATGATTTACCATGGCAATTAATCTGGCAAAAGATATGAAATACAGATGTGGACATACAGAGAAGGTAAGCTGTTTGCATATACCTGAAATACTGCTTGACCATGGACTGTGTTTGAAACAATCATCTGGGCAAAGAACAGAGGAGTCAAATTGTGTCAAATATCTCAATGGAAGAGCTCCCAGTAACAGAGGCAGAAACAGGACAAGACCCAGCTGACATTCAGCTTACCACTTGAGCTGTGGTTACTATTCCTGTGGACAGTTTCAGCTCTTTCTAAATGCAAAGCTTAACTTCATTCCCATCTCAAACTGTAATTCCAGCTAAGCAAGAAGTATAGGTGGTAGCAGTGCTGACAGCACACTGAGCATTACAACAGTTCAGGTGATTTGCAGTACCAAGTTAAATCGCTATAACCTGTCTGCACATTCACCAGTGTTTGCATCTGGAGATCTGTGCTAGGCCCTTGGTAAACAAAGCGTCACCTTGCATAAACAGAGCAGACATAAAATTAAAAGCAGTAGTAAGTGATATTATGTGCTAAATTTGGGGACAGACAGACTGGAACGCACATGCAGCAGATACAGTAGCAGGCTCATTACCACTGTGTATGAAGAGTGGAGTTAAAAGCATGATCTTGAAGGAGAAGGCAACAGCACCCAAATCAAAACCTGGTAACTACCACAGCTGCAAGAGGTACATCAGCAGCCTAGGCATGATATATACTCACAAAACGTAATAGTTAAAGCAAAAAAAGTCACATTATTGCAAGGGTGAGGAGGGCAGAAAGCAAGATTACCACCACATCTCTTTTCTCAAAATGGTCATTATAAAATGGAAAACTTTTAAATGGCAAAATATAAAATGAACTAATGCATCTTTTAAAAACCTAATTTCAAACTGAAAATTCACCCATGACATTCAGGAATAATATAAGCATCACACAGCCTTGAGACAATTTCACCACATGTCAATCCAGAGAAAGTTTTGAGCTCAGAACATCTGAAAACAGCAGTCAGGAAAACCAGCCATAACACAGTCTAAGATACACTGTTCTGAATGACAGCAGCACTGGGGCAATTTGAACAAGGTATCTCGGTGCTGAAGCTGCAACACTTGTCTTAGCGCAGAGATTTTTTGTGACAGTTCTGATGGAAACCTGAGTGAGATGCTCCTTACATACAGCTTTCTTTACTGGGAGCTGAGTTATGGAATTATAAACGAAGTCTGGAAAACTGGCATTTTTCCCAAGTCCAATTACAGGAGCAAGACAGCAAAATACTGAAATTTAAATGTCTACTGGTTTTTATACTGCAGTTTTGAAATACGGGAAGTGATAACGTGACAGCAGTTTAAATGTTTCTCCTCCTCTCCTGCCTGTCCCCTTCTGCTTCCCCTTTTAAATTTTTACAGAAGGGAGATTCCTGTAGATGGAAGTTTTGCCAGACTTTAAGGTCATCTGATGGGAAATCATTATAAGGGAAGAATCACGCTCTATGCGTGTGTGCTGCAGAAAGCTTACACATGCCAAATACATTTCATATTCCAAGAGCTTCTGTAAATAACTAATTTTTTTAGCATGTGAGATCAGAGGGAAGTGTCAGTATCCATCTCCTTCAGCAGTCCTGAGCCACTTGCTTCTTCAAGACGAATACAGAACACGTATGAAACATTTTTCCTTACCCATTCTCATCTTCATTTAAGAACCCTGCAACAGCACCAGGAAGTTCAGACTTGACAATTAAAAGGTAAGATGACATAGCTGCAAACAGAAGCAGAAGAAATTTAGTAGAAGGATACCAGTATCTCTGGTTGTAACAACCAGCATGACTTAACCAGAGTAGTTACGACTGGAACATCTCAGTTACGTATTAGACACTACGGCACCAGAATCAATTTATTTTCTTATATACTTCCTTTAAAAATAGCTGCAAATCCCCGAGTACTGTACTCATGTTAGCTGATGCCTCCAAAGAGATTGTTACAATGTGAGACTTGAAACAAGGAAAACATAGGCCAAGAGACTGAAAGGCAGAACAATATAAAATATAGGCCTGACCTTTTACCTGGGAATACGGACCTACCAGCTAGAGACAGACTACTCAGCTGCAGCACTTCTTCCTCTTTTGTCTTTTTAAGACATCATTAATGACAAGAGTGTACAATAAGATTTATTCCTATCAATAAAATACAGATTTTTTTAAGGCTCAGTTTCTATTGTTGTTTGATTGCTGTTGTACTAAATAAATACATGACAGAAAGGTAAAGAATAAGACTTGAGTTGTTTTTTTATATATACTGCATGGCTTGGCAAGAGGATTATCAGTGACAGATCTCCACTTCTCATGCTAAACCCCCCCACCAGGATGATCCCAACAACAACTGCAAAACTATACAGGAAGTGCAAATCAGAAAAGAAATTGTTAGTTACTCTTACAGGAGTGTCAACTTGAAATTGTTTATAATTCTATTCAGAAGAAAGCAACAATGCAGACACATAAATCCAAAAGCTACTTCATTGTATCACTTTTCCTCTTTACTATATAGAAGGACTGAATGCATAAATGGTTTTTTAAATTACAATTTATACTAACCTGATACCTTCACACACTGTTGTGTTACTTTTTTCTTTTACATAAGCAGCAAGTGTTTATATGTATCAAAAACCAGCTGAGAATTACTCAGAAAAATCAAGTTTTAGAACAGCTTCAACAAGTACCAGAACCTAGATGAAACTAATTTCATTCTTCAGCAGCAAGTAATTTTAGTAACATGCCAACAAAGTTTAGTTACATGTAAAGCTTGTCAAAAAACCATCTGTCGTACTCAAATTTTACTGTTCTGCATTTACTAGTTCTTTAGAATTTCACAGCGGTGTATTTATCACTGCTTTAAAACATAAGTGCTAAAAAGGTAAATCAGCAAACTTCCATGAGCTGATTTCTGAATAAGCTTGTGAGTTTGGTTGGTTTTTTTTTAAGGGATGTTTTGAATCTTAAAAAAACCATGTGTACTCACACACCGATGCACTACAGCAGTTAATGTTAGATTTTGAAGAAAGGTAATGCGATCTCTATAAAGAAAGTGAATTCTGTTAATACAAAGTGACATCTACCTACCGCAAGGTTAAATTAAAACCATTTGGTAGGTCACTAAAGAAAAGAATATTCACTTCTTCCTAATTAAAAGCTCTGTTTTTTCCAGTGTTCGAGTGTATTTCCCTGTTGACGTGTAGCTGTTGATTGTGTCTGGTAAGGTATTTATCTTCTGTCCTGATTTTACTCTCCTATTTGCATACAACAGGATGTAGATTTAACCACAGAGAACCTTACCGCACGCATATTTCTCAATCACCAGAATTTGTTAAGTAAATTAACACTGTTTCTCACGCTAAGCTATGGGCAATGCATATTTCATCCTAAGCAAAGACAGATTGTTTAAAAATTCAGTCGGGCAAGAAGAAAAATTCCTTCAAATTATAATGCAAGTTTATTTATCCATTTGCCTTCTTTCTTGTACTATACTTTATATACAAGCAATTCAGAATTTTCATTTATATCCTTCAGAAAGATTTCAAAAATGCTTCTTTTGCAGCCCCAGCTGCAGAAAGCTTTAAATTAATTTCCAGCTCAGATTTCCTCCCAATATGCAATCTGCCACTCTTCCCTTGCATTCCTATTAGCCTCTGGCTAATCATTTGATCACTTATCCTTTGTTGTGCGCTTGCCCTTTGTTTTTAAAAGAGGAGTCCAATTTCACTGAATTCCACTCCTAAGAAAGGAGCCAATCATGCACCAAGAAACTTGCACATGCTAAACATTTGTATGCATCTTTCTTTGGGCATACGGGAAACAATCTCACATAGTAGGTTTTTTTTTCCCCTCTCCAGTTTATATTCTCGTTTGTTCTAAAAGATGAATAAATACTCTGATGCTTAGACAAGACATTAATCTTGCACATAAACCTGATGGGGATACAGTTTAAAATGCCAAATCCTGCTTTTTCCTTCATTTACAAACACAGCTGTAATTCTCCTCACCAGCAACTGCCTCTTGTAGCTTTACTCAGCATGAAAGAAGAGACACTAACCACTGTATAACTCAAACACACTAAAAAGTGAGGAAAGAACATAGTTTGTTTGTTTTTTTAAAGCTGAAACCAAACCAGCCAAACATCTTCAAAAACAGCATAGCAACTTGAAAAAATTATCTCAAGTAGGAATAAAGAGTGACAGACAAAAAGTCACGTATCCTTTGCTCCAAGTAAGAAATTATACTGAACCTCCCTGACACCCACCACGACCAAAGCCATGTCAAGTTATATTGCAAAAATTAAACATCAGCTATCCTTGGCAGACTTAATGTATAACGGAAGGAACAGATTACAGAGTCACAAGGCTGAATTGTGACACAAGTAGAACACAAAGAGTGTACCTTGTGCTTTGATTTATTCCACTTTGAAATACTGACTTCCTCTGTCATTTCGAAAATAACTTCAATGTTTCAATGACTAACTTCTAAGGCATCTTTTATCACATACAAATATTGTAATAAAGCTACGTTCCTCTTTAGAAGTCAAACCTTCCAAAAAAATTAGAAAGTGTCAGAAGCAACATTCCCTTCAGAGTTCACCTCTCTGCACGCGCACAGTACAAGGGAGCAGAACTTACTGCTCTTGCAACACATTCTCATCCTCTAAATGAAAAAAGAATGTTATGTTTTCTTCGGGTCACCTCTTTGCAACATCAGACACCTATCTTTAGCATTGAATGAGCCAGGTTTCCTGCAGAACAAGTGGTGTACAATGACGGAGTTTGAGGCTTTAGCAATATGCAGATGCAACAAGGACTGGCCTAGGACGACATGAGAACCTTCAGATAGTCGCTTCCTAATTTTTAGGTCCTGCATGCACTAAGAGCTACCTGATGGAGAACTAAGCAGGTCCGAACTTCCCAACAGGCTATGACACAGAAATGCTGTAAGACAGGATTCAGCAGAAATAAAAATTATATTACCACTTTATTATTCAATAGGCTCACCACTGTCTTGAAAGCAGCAAGAAATTACATTCTTAAAATATACATCATTTTGCCATGTTCTAAAAAGCTGGTATTCGTTCTTCAACAGAAAAAAACCTGTTTGTTAAAATATAAAATACTTGTTTTACACTTTCATTGTTATAATCTGTAATGCCACCACAAGATATAACTCTATAAATACACATAGTACACATACATTATTCAGAATATCCTTACTGTGCTACAATATTGTTTAAAGGCGGAATATATGTGCGCCTACCTGACAAGAAACCCAAACAAACCATAAGTTGCTAGAGAAAAGGGAAGCCAAGGTTTTATCTTTAAAATTGTCCCAAAAATACCTCTTCTGAAGTAGCCCAGTCTTAAAATCAAATACATAGAGTGGTTTTTTGGTCACCAGGACACTTAGCATAACTTTTCCTTATTATCCTACCCCAAAAGAAATAAATTGCTCAGGTCTGCAGCAATTATGCAGGAGAAAAACGTACATTAAGCTTATGTGTAAAAATACACCATATTCCTTCCTTAGAAAATGACCACTGATAAATCCCATGAGATCATTTAATTGAAGGGACTGATTCTAACTCTTCTGTTTAGTTTTCTTAACCTACCTCTATAGCTGATCATATTAGAGCACTATAAAGATGCCTTACATTATTAAGCCCTGTGCAGAAATGGAACCAAGCTACTCTCCAAACTTCACGAAGGAGAAAATAGGGGGCTGGAAAAAAAGAGCGCGTGCCACTACAGCCAAATTGGCTCTTCAGCTCCTACTTTAAAAAAGGGGGATGCTGATGTGGGAGTCAGGAAAAGCAGACAGACCAATCTTGAGCCTCATCTGGAGGAATACCAGGTAAGGCAGAGATTCCTCACAAATACCCAGAGATAATTAAGATAAATGAAAATGCCTGTAACTCTCATTCTCTAACGAGTTCAGTCAGAAAGATCCCCATTTCTCCCAAAATACTGAAAAGATTAGAGGCTGAGAGACAGAAATAGCAGAATAAACACTACTAGTTGCTGCACACTCCAGCCCAACCAAACTGGATTTTCCTTAGCAACTACATGGGACAAACTTCTCTGGGCTTGTGGCTCCCTTTGCTAGTATGAAGTTTGTTTAAATTTGAATCTGTCCTAATCCAAACAAAGTGACAAACTTAAAAAAGAAAGCAGAGACAGATTTTAAGAAAGAAAATGAAATGAGAGGATTTTCATCAAGCTCTCATTTTTCCTGTCAAAGAATTAGAATGGAATAACAAGATAGGAAGTACTTTGGTACTGCACTGAGCTCCTCATAAGCAATTTGAATTGTGCAAAGATGCATGCAAGGATGATGCATGGACGCTGCTGAAAACCATCAACTATTTCAGCCCGCACACCATATGGCCTTAAGTGTATGCTCCTTTGTTTTCATTTTTAAAAAGTAAAAAATGTGAGGGATTCATTACAAGAAGTCTCCCAATTACTCGATGTACTGGTTTTAGTATTTCCTCTTTGTCGAAGCTTAATGGGGGAAAAAAAAAAAAAAAAAAGAAGAAAAAGTTTGGATTGTTTGTTTTTCAACACAGATGTAGAATGGAGTGTGTAAAAGGAGATGCAATGGTTGTTCATATGGAGGAGTTTTGAGAACAGAAATAGTTTGTCAACTTCTTTGCTAGTCTTCTCATTAAGGACAGTCATCCTGATGATTTTCTGCTCCACTCCTTCCCAGTCCTTCTAACTTT